GGGGGGGCCAGCCACGGCTGGCAGGGGGGCACGGGGAGGCTGCAGACTCAGAGCCCTCCCCGGGGCGGGTGCCAACACCCTCCCCACAGCCCCCGGGGGCCACAGCACAGAAGGCAACAGGATGGAGCCCCCAGCCAGGCACAGCTGCCTGCTCGCCCACCTCTCTGGGCTCCTTGCCTGGCACGCACTTGCCTTGACCCAGAGATCGGGTCTGGACACACACCTGGGGGGTGGCTGCCAGCTTTGCCACCTCCCCAGGACCCCTTCTCCCTTCATCACACCATCTCCTGCAGCCACCATGCCCTGGGACCGCCACCCACACACCTGATGCTCACCCACTTCGCTGCCTTCAACCCCGAGCTGGGGTCCCTGTACTACGTTCCCAACAGCAGAGCTGCCTGCCCATGCTGCCAGGCATCTGCCATCCCAGGCATCATGCCAGGGCAACTCTCCCAGCCCAGGCGCCAGGCCCCAAAACATCCAACACCGTGCGAGAAGATGCCCAAAAGCCCCAGCGCGTACCTGGATCTGCCCCTTGCCCATGATCTTGTCCACAATTTCGTTGTTGTCCTTGTTGAGTTTGGTCTTGTCGTAGCACTTCTCGTAGCAGAGGATGCGCAGGGACTGGGAGCCCTCCAACTCGATCTCGAACTCCTGGGGAGTGGAGGGAGGGTGGCTCAGCCCCAGCACCCCAGAGCAGCTTCAAAACTGGGGCTGGAAGGGAAAAAGTGGGGCACAGCCCCCTCCCTGTGTCCCACTCTCCTCTCACCTCATTCCACTGCGGTTCAGTGGTGTCCCGAAAAACCCTGGTCTTGGCTTTGCTGACGAAGTAGCCAAAGGAGTCCACCTCCAGTGTGCAGTAAAGGTCTGGGGGGGCAGAGATCGCTCAGCGCCCAAGGAACATCCCCCACCGGCTCCCAGGGAACCGCTGCGGGCAGAGCGGGGCCACATGCTGGACCCCAGCTTCCCGCTGGCACTGGCCCCTCCGAGCAAGGGTGGGCACTCGCACTCACTGGCAGACTGCTTGAAGCCCTTGGCGGAGTGGACGATGACGTGCAGGAACCCATAGAGCCCGGGGGACTCGTCGTCTGCGGCGGGGAGAGCAAAGGCTGCATCAGGGCTCCGCTGCCACATCCCGTACCCTGCGCCCAGCATGTGGGCTGCCCTTCCCCCTGGCAGTCTTTGCCAGAGCGAGCACTAGGTGCTGGTGATGACACCCCGATGTCCCCGACCCCTCGGAGGGCCATCTCTAAGGTCTGGAAGGGGACACGTATCCTCCGCTGCCCACCATCCCTGATGGACATCCTGAGCTCTCCAGCGGCTGGAGGGCCCCGGGGAGGTCCCCAGTAGGGCTGGCTGGGTCTCACCCTGGGGACACCCTGGTCCTGCCCAGCCCATGGGGGTGATGGAGGGACCCCAAAGGCAGCCCCCATGTTGCAGCCGGGATTGCTCCAGCTGGGAGCCCGTCTCCGCTCCGGCAGTGCCACCTGGTGGGTGCCTGTCCCCCTGCACAGCCAGGGTCGCCCTACCCGGAGCAGGGACCTCGTTCCAGCCCAGGGACCCCACAGCTCTTCCCCGGCATCATCTGGAGGCAAAGAGGGACCCACCGGCCCGGCAGACACTCACCGTCCTTATTGCTGGTGACCGGGATGTTGTGGACGGTGCGTAGCTTGAAGCAGGATCCCGTGAGCACCTGCAGCTCCACCGAGCTCAGGACGAAGGCCTGGAGGTCTGCAAGAGGACAGGAGAGGAGCTTAAGAAGGGTCCAGCCAGGGGATCGAGCAGGCTGCGATCCTGCGAGACGTCTTCGTGGTCCCTGGTGGGGCAGAAGCCTCGAGGGGACCTCAGCAGCCCCAAACTTACCCTTTTTCTGCAGTTTCTGAATGGCTTCCCTCCACTCAGACCTCTCGTAGTCGGATGACAGCAGGAAGAGGTAGCTCTGCAAGGGCGAGGGTGATGTGGCAGGCTGTGTGCAGGCAGGGCTGAGCACCCACCCCATGCCCTCAGCCCGCCCTCCTCACCTTCCCATTGCGGTTGTGGATGCGGAAGGGGATGGCGGGCGAGTTGAGGAGCAGCCAGAATTCATTCTCAAACATCTTCTTCTTGAGGCGCTCAATGGCCCGGCTCTGCCCCTTGTTGGCTTTCTGCAGGCGGGGAGTGGACAGGAGCTTTCACGGGTGCCCTCTACGCCCCCACGTCCCATCCCGGACCCCAGAGGACGGCACCCACCCTGGCAGCAGGTCTCACCCCCTCCCCGACCATCCACCCCCTCCTCTCACCTCCTTCTGCACCTCGCTCTTGATGGCCGAGATCTTCATCTTCATGTCCTCCAGCTCGTGGTCGGGGATGACATGGACCTGCGGACAGTGCTCTGACTCCTCCGGCGAGGGGAACACCAGGTCGGCCAGGGGCACGTACCACTTGCAGTCGTACTGCTGGTGCTTCCTGCAGCCGGGGCGCGGGCACTGAGTGGTGCCCGGCCCTCTCCTGGCACATCCCCCTGCCCGCTGGAGGACAGGCCGGGTTGTGACACATTCCCCCCCACCCCGATGCCCAGCGCCCTCCTTACCCCACCGCCGTCTTCTTCAGGGAACACCAGGTCGGCCAGGGGCACGTACCACTTGCAGTCGTACTGCTGGTGCTTCCTGCAGCCGGGGCGCGGGCACTGAGTGGTGCCCGGCCCTCTCCTGGCACATCCCCCTGCCCGCTGGAGGACAGGCCGGGTTGTGACACATTCCCCCCCACCCCGATGCCCAGCGCCCTCCTTACCCCACCGCCGTCTTCTTCAGCTTGGCACAGAGCAATACGTCGGTGAAGAGGAAAACGTGCCGCAGCTTCCGCGAGCCCTCCGACAGCTCCACCAAGAAGCCATCCTTGACGAGCTGCCGGGTCTGCGGGGCAGCAGGGCTGGCATGAGAGCGGGCAGGGAGAAAAGACCAACAAACCGCAGGGGATGGGTGCTCCTGGCCCCCTCCATGGCTCAGCCACCAGGAGCACGGAAAGGTCCATGTCCTCTGCGTGCTATCTTGAGTCCCGTACACTCAGGAGGACACCAGCAAGCAGCAAGGACCAGGTAGAGCCCTTAACCTCGCACCCAGGACTGCGTCCAGAGGAAACTCTCCATCTCCTGGCCAAGCACCATGGAGCTCCTCAGCATGGAGACACCAGCCAGGGGCTGGCAGAAGACCCAGCCCTCACCCTGTGCCCAGGCACTGCCCACCCCACCGGCTCACCTCCCCCTTGGGGGTGGTGACCGCTGTCCTCCGTGGGTCGATGTCCTCATTGATGCTGGAGAGGAAGTTCTGCGAGATGCGGAGGGCGTCCTGCAGCAGTGGGTAGTCAGGGTGGTCGGCTGGGGTGTGCTTGAGCAGGTCCTGGAAGGGGATAGGCATGGGTGAGC